AGTTTTATTTAAGAAAGGACTTGTGTCGCTAAAGTTTCGTGGGAACGAAGTTACGGAAAATTAACTAACGAACGGAGACTTAACAGTCATTTCGGTTTTATTTAACTAGATATGTGTGTGTGTGTGTATTAACCTCAGAAGTTAAAACATGCTAACCATTTGTAATCAGTCAACCAAATAGTATTATTTAAAGTTCAACCGTACAATGTTTTTGTTTTCTTCCTTGTAGTGTACTACATAACCTTCTTCTTCTCCTCCTCCTTTAAAATTCATCTCCAACTCTTCAAGCTCTACACTGAAGCAATTCGGCCTTCATTCTTTAAACATTAGTGTCTATCTGCCTGTTACAAACGATCTTAGCGTTCCTCTGGTTATTACGGTTGTAAATTATCTTTATGTGGCTTTTGGTACAGGTTTAACATTTACCGTGCTTCTGTTTCTCGGTTCGAGGGTTGCAAGTAATGTAAACTTCGTCTTCCACAGGCACGAAGTAACAAATGGCATTAGATAAAGAGCTGCTTTATATTATATTACAAGTTACAGCTTGTACAGTAAGTAAGATTTGGTTTTAGAACAGGTACAACGTTTCGATCATTGGTGCAATCATTCTCAAGTACACAAGTTGTAATATAATATAAATAATCAGTAAGTAAACTTAAAATGAAACTGTTAAAGAACTGCGTTGTCTGCATGTACTGGGTAGTCTCTAGTTCTCTGAAATAAAAACTCTAATAGTTGATTTTTTTTAACTCTGACGTTAATGTTCCGTTTCAAGAAAGCTCAGCTCCAACATGCGTTCTTTTTCTTTCGTAGAAAAACCAGCATGCAGAACATAATTTTATAATCTGTGAATACATTTTTCCACTTTAAAGTTTGGAGACAGCTTGAATGAGTAATGAAAGAACTTTATTACAAATGTACAACGTTTCGACAAGCTTATGTCATCATCAGGTACATAAGGTAATCGAAACGTTGTACATTTGTAATAAAGTGTCGTTCACTACTCATACAAGCCATCTCTAATCTTTTATTTTCTAAGATAAATAAATGGGTTTCTCGTCATCAAATTTCCTATTTTAACTCATAAGTCATGTAAAGTAGAACTTGAGACTTTTCCACTTAATTCATACATATTTTTCATGCTTATATAGCTGAATTTTAAGACCTAAAGTATCAGGTTTTCTCTGGGATCTACAAACTCTTATTTTTCCATAATTATATCTTTCTGCGGTCAACCAGCAGTCTGCGTACCGAAGCTTGGAAACCTCAAATTTAGGTGTTAAGAACGGCGAAAGTTAAATATAAAAAATGTGAAAAAATAAACACATGAGACGTGGTAGTAAACAGAAGTTTTTTTTTGGCGCTAAATTAAGATATAAATAATATGAATCTAAATGATGATGGAATAAGTTAATTGATCGTGACTGAAGCTTAGCTATTTTTATAATTTCATTAATTTTTTCCCCCTTTATCCTCTCTTCAATGAATATGTGGCAGCACGATCGAGAATTTGACTATAAATACTCTTAACTGACTGCATTTTCGTCTTGTTTTGTGTTAGAATAAGAAGAGGAAAGGAAAAGTGGAGTACAAGTGGAAAACTTGGTGTATTAATGCGTTTGTACAAAGTGTTTTCTTCGGAAGGCGACTGAGATTTTGAAATTGTCATTGGAATTGTTAGTCAACACATTGGTGTTACTTTCAGGGACAGGTCTAATAACACAAGAGAAAATTGACCACTTCATTTTCAGTGCATGAGATGGATATTGCCAGTGGTAAAACTAAAACAACAAAGGTTTGACCTAGTATACTGAATTATGTTAGTATTACTAGTATTAGTAATATCAACAATTTTACGCTTACAATATTAATTAAATATAATCTTAGTCTGTATAAATAAATTAAATTATATTTACAGTCCTAAATGTTTTTATTAATATAAATTATAATATATTGAAATCTTTAGCTGTATTTATATCTTGTAAGTTGTAGTGAAGTTGTAATGTATTCCTTTCGTTGGGCTGATTCGTTTTATATTATTTGGTGAAAAGAAGGCCAGGTCCAGTCCACATTTCTTTCTTAAACGTAAAGTTTACTATATGCTAGATGTACCTGTGTACCTAACTAAGTTTACAAATGACAATATTACTTATTGGCAAAAACCCCTAGGTAGTATGTCTGCAATACTAATATTATTAATGAGCAAAAAGTGTCAAGACACTTATTTTACTAAAAAAAAAAGGAGAAGTAGTGAAGTAGTGGCTATAAAACAATATAATTTACTGGAAAATATTTGACATATTTAGGGATGAGAAGTTGTAGCAGACCAAAGTTCAATAATTATACTTGGGTCCTAGTAAAAAGAAAAGGGAGAACAGCCATTATTGCTATCATTATATAAAACTCTGTTACATGTTTACGTTATGCTACCATCACTATAGTTTCTGTAGCCTGTGTATCTTTCCAAAGCTGGCAAAGCCCACACAATTGGGATTAATGCACCGATGTAATGTTAAGCCAAATAATTAGAAATAAAAATCATTCAGATGAAGTGTTTTGAACAAAAATTTAGAAAAAATAAGAAAAGTCCCATAATTATACTCTCTATTCTTTGCTAGTAAACTCAGTTATGTCTCTTGATCAATATGGCAGATTTCTTGTGCCATCAATTGTCACTTTGATATATTACACTTTCATATCCAAGCATATATCTAATATCTTGTTTTTTTAGTAAATTAGTTTGTTTTAAAGTTACTTCTCACATATGACTTTTTACTGAAATATGCATTTTGATACTTCTATTTCATTGTTGCTAATTAAACTAGGAGTAGGAGCAAATCATGCTGCTTGTTCAGTAAAGAGAACTTCAGAGGTTTAGTGATAGAGGTAGATGTTTAGTCTTTATCAGGATTCAAAGCTTCAATGAACGATTGAATGGGATATACATAGAGCAACAGGTTGACTGGTTGGACATGAGGATGCATTGTGTACTAGAGACGATCTCTATTTAAGCAGATTAGGTAGTTTAAACTTTCATAGTGGTGAGGAAGCTTTGAAAATTATAAATAAACAAATTAGGCAATGGGAAGAGTTGAAATAGGAGATTAAAAGCACAAGTTAAATAATAGTTAAGTCTTGGTGTAAGTAAGTGTAGTAGGATCATTCAAGAAATAGCTTAATTGCTATTATTCTAATGTTATGAATAGTAGGAACAAAAATGGGTGAATTCGGGGCTCTAGTTTAAATGGAAGGCTACAATGTAATTCCCATTATTAAATTGTGGCTAGACTTGGAGAATATTGATAATAGGAATTATTCTGAAATTCCTGGTGAAAGTGTGGGTGGAGTAGCTTTTTATAAAAGGGGTAAAAACTGCATCCTCTTTGGATTGGAAGCATAAAGTGATGGTCGAGGGCGATTTTGTTGTTGTTGTACTAAATGGTCAGAGACAACCTGGTGATGCCATTAGATAATGGTTGAATTAGGAAATGTTCAGAAGAGTAATTACTTCTTAATTAGGGATGATATTTTACTAGGTGTTGAGTAATTCCTAATTTTCAGAACGCTAATTTTGAGGCCATGAAACTAGATTTACCATTAGTGAATCGGGACAATGATTAATAAGTGACATGGGACAGATCTGAGAAAGATTTAGAAGTATATTGATTTTAATTCAACATGGGCATATTCCTAAAAGAGATAAAAATAATAACAGAGAATATAAAACCTAAATGGTTTACTAAAGACATAAAGGAGAAAATCAGAGATAAATACCATAAATTTCAAAAGTTTAAATTTACAGATAAGTTTGAAGACTTATACAAATTTAGGTAGGCCATGGATTTAGTTAAGAAAGAAATTATAAAGGACTTATGAGAAACCTCTGGCTTATAATGTTAAAATTAACAGCAAGTTAAGAAGTTTTATAAAGTATGTTTAAGGTAAGTAAACTTTGAAATGTGAATTGGGCCTTTAAATGAATGATGCTGATGGCAAAGATTGTGTTGAAAATGATACGATCTCTTCTGTTTTCACAAAACTTAATATCTTTTGACCTGAGCATTCTGTGGGGAATTTTGTAATTGATCTCCGAGATGTAGAGTGTATATTCTTATTTAGAAATTAAAAATTCAATAAAGCAACAAATGAGAAAGTTTTCCCAGGATTTTAAAGGAGGTCAAAGATCAGACATGCAAGTTCTTTCTTTCATTTTTGGTAGGTCAGTAGAGAGTGCTCAAGTGCCTGAGGATTGAGGAGTTCCTTATGATAACTACTTTTAAGGTACATTTTATAAAAGTATGGGCCAGTTACTTAGTCTTACTTTTGTAATTGAAACAATTCTAGGGAGTCTGATAAGAAAAAGCATTTAGTAAATATGATATCATAAATAAAAGTCAACATGGCTACATTAGCTGGGAATTAGTCTTTCTAACCTCTTAATGTTTTTTAGAAGATGTTACTTGTTATCTGGAAGATGGAATGGATGTACATTTTTAGAGAAATTGTTGATAAAGTGCCACAAACACAAGAACTAAGAAGATCAAATTAATAGGAGGTTGAGGAAAAGACTAGTTAATTGGATTGTAGGATGAAGGGAGAAGAGAAAGCAATAGGTTATTACTATTAATGAATGGAGTCCAGTCAAAGTGGACTCTTGTTTCCAGTAGAGAACCTCGGGAGTCGGTATTTAGGATTTTGTCCTTTTCTGCTTACATTTGTAATATTGATGGGGTCGTATGATTAGTGAATTACTAAAGTTTGCCCATGTCATTAAATTCTTGGGTATTTCTAGCTGTATTGAGGATTTTTTGGTATTATGGTTATGACTCGGATCAACTGGTATGTTGAACAGGTACTTAAAGTGACCTTTAATTATTGTATGTGCAAGGTTATCACTAATGTGTTTGAGCTATCATAATTTGAATCGTGTTTTATATAGGTGGGAAGCCATTAGATAGTTTGACATAAGAAGAAAATCTTGGCTTTGTGATGGCTAAGTCACTCAAACCATCAAGGCAATACTATGTTGCTATCAGTAAAGCTAATATACTTTTAGGGTTTATTTATAGACATTGATTATAAGTAAAAAGGCAATTATCTATATACACATCACTAGTTAGATCTTGCTAGGAGTACTGTATACAGTTTTGATCTCCTTATCCAAAAAAGCATATTGACTTGTAGCAGAGGTGTCGGAAACTGGGGATGCTGTATCACCCCAACTTTTACATATTTGACTTGTATAGCAGTTGTAAAAAAAACATATTGACTTGTAGCAGAGGTGTTGGAAACTGGGGATGCTGTATCACCCCAACTTTTACATATTTGACTTGTATAGCAGTTGTAAATAATATTATTATACTCATTTTCTAGGGGGGGTATGACTCCAGACCCCAATAGATTGAGCTGCCTTTGGTAGCACAGAAGCTGCTAAAAGCAGTTCTTTATACTTTCAATGTGAAATCTCTGTGTCTAGCCAAGAACCCCCATTTTACAGCTCCTTCCTACATTACTGTGTGGGTTCAGAGTAAGTCTATTAGGATTATTCTGGAGATGGAAGGGTTGCCTTATCCATATAAATTAAGATTCTTGTAAGCATTTGCTATCATTAAAAAGGGTGATATTAGAAATTCAGATTTAACTCGTACCTAATATTTTATATTAGATGTTGTTACTGCCCTCGTGACCACACAGAATTCTGGAAATGCTCAGTTGGTTGAGTGTTCACAGTTGTCAGCTAAGCCTCATTTGGATCTTGTGGAATTAGCTCAACATATACAGACAGTGAGTTTACAACTGAATATTTTAACTACTAAAATGTATATTTTTATTATTAGGCTTACATCAGATGTAACTTTCTTAATTACATGGGAAATTCCCGAAAATAATGTTGTGCTTGTAAGAATCTTTTTTTTTGCTTGGTTAAAAACATTTATTCTAAAAAAAAATTGACTCTGACTTATTCAGGAAGAAATAAAAAAATTACAGCTAGTTGGCTTCTAAATAAATACCTACCGTGAATATTTCATATCCATAACCCTTAGAAAGTCATTGTTTTCAGATAAGTGTCTTCAGCCTGTTCAATTAAGATTGAATTGAGTACTGCAATATAAAAGTTGTATGATTTAATTTTATAATATTGCTCATCTGGGTTGCTGCTTTTAGATACCAAATCTACTTTTCAGGTTTTGGCCATTTACTAAAAATTGTTTGTAAAATTTAACGTAAATTTTAAATAGGTTGAATTTATTGATTATTCAAACAGTTGTGTATTATCTCAAGTTAAATATTGAAATGGTGAATTAACTTCTATGAAAATGGAAACTGTGGGTGGCAAAATCTTAAGTTAATACTTAGAAAACAGTAAATACATCTGTAGTTTAACTTCAGTTTTTCTCAGTGGTTAATTATAAACATTTACAAATTCGATAAGACAATTTTAGTAACTTATTTTCTCACTAGATGGCAGAACTAAATTGTAGGAGATAATTACAATAACTCTAAGTGAGCTTATTTGTTTTAAAAATGTTACAATGATATTCTTTAAATTTAAATGTGTAAATGTGACTAACTAACCCTGTGGCTATTTTAATAGGTATTCTGGCTTTAGTTTAAAAATGAATAACTTAATATTTAGACAAAATATTGCTTAGGTAAATTGCTAATGCATGACAATTAATGAGCTAACATATTTCTATTGTGAATGTTGAACAGGAACTGTGTTATTAAAGATTTAAACTTGTATCTATTTATCTTCATAAAATTATGATATTACTTTCAAAATTTTGTTTGGAAAAAATGTTTTAACTTTGGTATTTTTCTAATAGGCTGACAATTTCACTAAAGCCAATGTTTGCAGCAAGTTAACCGTCATTGCCGAACAAGTACGTTTTTTGCAAGAGCAAGCAAGAAAGGTTTTGGTAGAAGCTAAAACTAATTCTGACCTTCATCATGTGGCTTGTAACTTTCGTAAAATACCTGGTACAACCTATTATTTGTACCGAAGGTCTTCTGGTCATCGATACTTCTCGATGATCAGTCCTGAAGTAAGTTTTATTTTTTTTAAATGTTATATGCAGAGCCTGAACTAGAATGGGACAGCAATGAGGGTTGGCAAACTAACTGAAACAGTTTGCCACATCACTTGTGAGGGAGGGCATGGCGAGGTGGTTAGGGTGCTCGGCTCGCAATCTTCGGGTTGCAGGTTCGAATCCCCGTCACACCAAACATGCTCACCCTTTCAGCTGTGGGGGCGTTATAATGTGACGGTCGATCTCACTATTCATTGGTAAAAGAGTAGCCCAAGAGTTGGTGGTGGGTGGTGATGACTAGCTGCCTTCCCTCTTGTCTTACACTGCTAAATTAGGGACAGCTAGTGCAGATAGTCCTTGTTTAGCTTTGCACGAAATTCAAAACAAACAAACTTGTGAGGGGGAGGGGGCATAATTATCATGGTCTACCTTGGTACTAAATTGTCTAGTTACGGCTCTGCTGGTATGCACGTTTACCAAAGTCCACCATCAGTCTTTTTATTTTCATCATAATGAGAAATTTAACAACAAAAAATGTCATTTTAAAATTTGAGAAGTGTTTTATCTTTTATTTAATACCTTTTAGTTTTATGTGTTTTTTTCAACTTGTACTTTGAAGCTCACAGGTATATATTATGTACCATGGAACTACTATCATTCTTATAATTAATTACATAAAAATTATATGTGGTACTGTTTGATTTTTCAAAAGTTTAATATAATTTCTAGATTATCGTGTAAACAACAGTTACATGATTACCTAAACATAGTTTTATAAGGATTTTCATTTCATATTCTTTTTTTTTATAAATTGTTTCTTGTTAGAAATTTCATAACATTATGTAATAAAAAAACATTTGTATTAAGTTTGATCAACAATTGGCATTTTTAATAATGGCTGCAGACGGCTTGAATGGGTAATGAAGAAAAACTTTAATATAAGTTTAATATAACAGCAAATATACAACTTATATTAAAGTTTTTCTTCATTACCCATTCAAGCCATCTCCAGCCATTATTAGTCTCAAAGTGGGTTCCTCATCATCGAAATTGTCATTTTTGTAGTTGATTGGCTAAGCCAAATCTTGCTTTTAATGGAGGAATATCATCAGTTTTAGATGATTGACATTAAATTCTAAGTAACTGAAGAAAGTTTTATTTAGCAAAGAGTCCTTGGCTCAAAGTGTTCTAGTATTCAGATCATATTTTTTGAACTAGTTATATTTGAGTGAAATATTAGGTCAAGAGTAAAATGTAACAAGATCATTTATATAATTTGAGTAAAATTAATTTAAGTTTTTTAACCCTTTCTGCAGTGCTGAGCACTGTACTGTTATCAAGTGTAAACCTGCACATCAATTTTCAAAATTTAATTGAAATTAGTAATTTTAACTCTTATTTCAACAATCTGTTGAATTGATATCTTGTCATTTTGTAAAAATATTTGGTGTAAATTGCAAATAAAAAAAAAAAAAATGTAAATGTTACATTTCTACACAACCTCATTGCACATATTGATATTTTTTTGTAGACTTTTATCTTATCCCAAGAAACTCGTCCCTTGACAATGCAACAAATTATGCCTTGCATCTCTCATGATTTTCCTTCTATGTTTGTTTTAGATATATTATTACAGGCCTTCTTCATTCCTACTTTCTTATCATGCCACAGCTTGTCTCGCCAAGCACTAATGAAGTACAGTTTTGAAAATAGTCACCGGGAAAGTCCTTATGGATAGAGCTTATTATGAACTATTAACATCAATCTTGAATAAGTTGTGAACATTTTCTTTCTGACAAGACATGAGAAAAGTTTAATTAGGTTTAGAAGTACAATAGGCAATGGGAAAAGTTTCTCAAGAATCAAATCTTTATTTAATGAATATCATTGTTAAGTTTACTGCATTCAAACAGGGTGATAAGTAAAATAACCTGTTTATTGAAAAAGAAAACAAAAACTGTTAATTAGAAATAAATTTATCTCAACCAAGTATATTGTTAGTAAATGTATTGTTACCTAGACTGACTAAGTTAAAGCCAAGTATATTGTTAGTAAATGTATTGTTACCTAGACTGACTAAGTTAAAGTCAAGTATATTGTTAGTAAACGTATTGTTACCTAGACTGACAAAGTTAAAACCAAGTATATTTTTAGTAAACCTATTGTTTCATGTTTTTGTTATTTTATAGCCAGAAATAGTGACCACTGCATTTGTCAAAATAAAGTATCAACATAAATGTGCCAATTAATATCAAGTTCAAACTTACTGGACATTCTACTTTGAATTATTTGGTTTTTATTTTTAATTCCAGAGAAATTTGGTAATAACCTTCTATGCCAATAATAGTAATAATACTGTTTTTAATGTAGTGGTATAGAAGTTACTATAGTCAAAATTCACTTCTTAGTTATTAATTGACACACACAAACATCTTGGAAAATTTTGACAGTACATCTTTTAATTCATTACAGGCAAATATTGTTAGCTAGATTCATCTACATTTGGAATTATGATTATAAATGTTTTAACCCCAAATTGTTTCAAGTGGAAAATTTGCTTAAAAAACAGACTCTTTACAAAATTCAAGGTCTGTATCACGACTTCGCTGAAATTACCAGTTTATTTCTGACTCAGTAATATGCATTATTAGCTCAGTCATAATGATCGAACTTTAATGGGAATGCTGAAACTTTAAAGATGAAGATTTATTTCGGAATTTTATTTAAGTTTAACGCAGGTCCTTGTTACTTTTATTAGATAAAATAAACTAGTTTTCAAAATGACCTTAAGATATCTTATAAGGAGAGCTTTTCATGATTAAATGTCCATAGGGGGCTTCCCTGCATGCGTGGACATACTTCCGACAGTCGTTACGTATACAGGTCATCATATAACATTTTACTGATGTTCTGCACTTATTTCCATACTAATATGAACTCCGTTAGTGATGGCATTCTTGCCAGTCACTTCTGCAGCATGGAGTATTTTCTCAATGGCTGCTATTTCTTCACTTTTCTGATGAATATTGCCAGACGGGGTCCAAGAAAGGTCATGCTCTAGCTTGTAGGAACCAAGAAACTCGTGAGGACAAGAACTACTCCATTCCTAGAGAAACACAGACAAGCATTATAGTTAGATTTCTCTGAAATGTGTGGTAATGTCCATTATAAAAACAGTCAGTCATTAATGAAGCACTTGTCATTAAGACTATCACAAGTTAACAGGCTAAATTTCAGCTAAATTCATTTGGTAAAATATATATACATGATCACCTAATATGGAGAACAAATTGTAATGGTAATCGTGCTGGCTCAAGATGTTAGTATATCTTATCTGCTGGGAAGGTATGCAATTAGGCATACCAATTTCTATCACGATGAACAGGATTCTTATATAAAATGAGATACATAGAAATGTTTAATATGAAGAAATTGATGTTGTTAAAGCAAACGATAAACAGTCGTTGTTCAAGGTTTGCCTGGGGATGGGTCATATCAGTGTCCTCAGCAGTTTATATCCTCGGTGTTCAGTGCATACACACACACCCACACAAACAAGGCTAAAATTGATAAAATTCATTAAAACTAATCTTGAAAAATGCAATTAGAAAGCTAATAAAATATTTGGTACAAATGCACTTGTACTGCATCCACATGCACCATATCTAATTGTGTGTGCAACGATTGGTTTAATCATTTATGTACACTGTGTGCTGTTACCCGCTTCTATTTTTTGCACGGCAATCACATCAGCATTTATAACATCTTGGATAAATTCAAATGATATCCGAAACATCACTTACCATAGCTTTTGAAATGTCAGAGCTGCTTTATGAGGTGTTAATCTAAGTGTTTATATACATAAACAAATTGTTTCAAGTCGAAACATCACTTACTATAGCTTTTGAAATGTCAGAGCTGCTTTATGAGGTGTTAATCTAAGTGTTTATATACATAAAAACATCTATTACTCCATTTTCTAATCGTGCTTTTTCCTGAGGTCGTTGTGATTTGGTAACTGGCAGTACTCTCTGTGTTGTATTGCAGGACAAACCACCTTCAGGTGATTCGCAGTGTTCCATTCTCAAGGTGTATATTGTATGTAATGACTTCAGTGTTCCATATGGAAATTATCAACGTAAATTATGATTAATGGGGGTTTTAAGTCCTTTTCAATAACCAATAAAGCAACCTAATATAATCTAGGTATTTCAATAATGTTAGAGCTTGTGTCTAAATCATTAAATATATCGGACCAAGTATTTAATGATTATATATAAACACATTACAGACTTCTTTTAAATTTCACCGAAGGCAAAACTGCAGTCCACAGCAGAGGGTACGGCCAATGAAAGTAAACATTCGACCTCTACATCACAGATTTTACCTTTGGTGAAATTTAAAACACATCTTTAACCACAAATGATGATAAGTTCAACATGGTATATTCCAATGGGGGATTTTGAGGATACCTATCAATACCAAACATCATGGTACACATTTTTTTTGGGGGGGGGGGGGAGATGAATCAGTTATTTCAAAGGATAACTTGTTGTTTGTCTGTAGTTAAGCACAAATGGGCTATCTGTACTGTTCCCACCATGGTTACCAAAAACCAGTTTCCAGTATTATAAATCGGCAGGCTTACCACTATGCTACTATCTTGTATTATATTAATTACTGGGGGTCATTACATACAATATACACCTTGAGAATGGGACACTGGGGTCATTACATACAATATACACCTTGAGAATGGTTGATTGCCCATACCACGTATTGGTGAGGGGAGGTAGGGGATCAGTTTTTCTCCCTGGTAAAGGTTAACGATTTTCTAGTGGTAACAGACATTATTCATATATACTTTTGAATTCTGACAGACAGAAAGAGAGATATAGTGTACGTATACATTAATTAAATGTATAATCCACTTTATTTTCTTTACAAATCTAATTGTTGTACTTCTGGCTGTAATTTTTGTGTGAGGATTGTGATTAATGATAAGAAAATACAATTCAATATGTTGTATGTAATGACCTCAGTGTTCCATTCTCAAGGTGTATATTGTATGTAACGACCTCGGTGTTCCATGCTCAAGGTGTATATTGTATGTAATGACTTCAGTGTTCCATGCTCAAGGTGTATATTGTATGTCCCCTTGGGGGAAGGTTCCTTGAGTTATTTATTTAATAGTTCTGTATTGAATT